TGATGTTTCTATCACTCTCTTCCTTTCCCTTCCTCTCTCTGAAATAAAAACATAATTTTAAAAAAGGCAGAGATGTGGGTAAATGAGTTTTATTTCCACACAGAGGCTATTCTGTTTTTCAGATTTAATTTCATTGTTTTTAAGGCTGCTGTTGGCTAAACGAAAATATTTGTAAATACTGAGTTGCCTTTGAACAACCATATTAACAAAAACAACAACTTTGAGAGGACAAAGTTGTTTCCTGTTTTCAGCTTCGAGAATGCTCTTCAGACCTACAGTGGTCCCCCACTCACCACTTCGAAGTTCTCCAGGGGTCCCCCCACCTGGTCATGCTTTATGTCCACCTCTGCTGCTGTCTCCCTCGTCCCCGGCTACTCCGCAGCTCCCAAGGCCAGGGGCCCTGTGTCTGGCCACAGGAGGTGCTGGGCACAGGGTCACCCACAAAAGGAGGAAGGCCCGTTCCTGCTGGGCTCCTCACCAGGAAGGGTGCCCAGGAAGACTCGGGGGCCTTCAGGAGGGGGGTCCACCTTCCCAGGCTGTACCTTCCCGGGTGCTGAGAGGAGGGTGAGGCTTGGCTCTGGCCTGACGGTTATTATAAATGCCAGGGAGCCAAGGCACACCAGACCAGGCCCCCTGCCGAGCACGCGCTGCTGAGTGGGCACTGCTTGTATCTTACCTGCTCTGAATCTTTTTATTTTATTAATTTTATTGATTTTTTTTTTTTTTTTACAGAGAGGAAGAGAGAGGGATAGAGAGTTAGACACATCGATGAGAGAGAATGTGCTGGGGATGTGCCTGCAACCAAGGTACATGCCCTTGACCGGAATCAAACCTGGGACCTTTCAGTCCGCAGACCGACGATGCTCTGAGCCAAACCTGCTCTGAATCTTTGCAGCCACCTTGGTTTGCCCATTTGATAGATGGGGAAACTGAGCCTCAGAACGAGGGAGCCCCCTAAAGCTCCTCAGAGAGTGGGTGTCCAGGCCCAGATTCAAACTCCAGCCAGCTGGCCCCACAGCCAGACGTGAGCCGCCCACACGCAGGGGGGCCGGGCCGCAGCCCCCCTCCCTCCTCACGCTGGACTCAGGGCTGCGGACAGCCCTCGGAGCCCAGAAGACCAAGGAGAGGAGAGGCGGCCAGCTGGCACTGTGGACGGGGAAGGCCCTCCCCTCCTCCTCCACGGGAGGGGCCGCAGGAGGCAGAGGGAAGTGCAGTGGGAGTCACGCGTGGCCTACAGCTCGGCTGCAAATAGCTCTGCGTGGGCAGAGGGAGAAGAGAGCCAGCACGTCCCCTCCTGCCCTGCACCAGAGCTCCGGGGGCGACCCTGGCCGCTCCCCCTCGCCCTGGAATGAGCAGGGAAGGAAGAAGCATGACCTTGCAGCGTCCCCCAGGCCCAGGCACCGTGCTTCATGGTATCAGCATGCCCCACAGCCCGGGAAGTGTCACCCCCACTGAGAGCCAGAGCGAGAGGCCCTTTCTCACTGGCGGCGACGTGACCAGGCAGAGCTGGATTCCGGCCAGATCGGTGTGACCCACAGCGCAGTGGTCACCAGGAAGCCCTATTGTCCTCAGGGGTCAGGGGTCACCCAGCAGAAGAGGGGGGAGGCAGGCAGGGCCGGGGAGGCTGTGGGCAGACCTGTAGAAGGCGCCCTGCAACCTGCCCACCACCTCTGCAGTGAGCCCCGATCGGCCTGAGGGGGCCCTGCGGCCACCTGGCTCTGAGTCACCCACCGTGGCCCCGGGGGGTGGTGGCCCCTTGCTGCACTCCAGGATCCCTCCAGTTGCCTGCTGACTCAGGCTCAGTCCGGAAGGCAGGCTGGGCAGGGTTGCCTGTCCTCGTAGGACCCTGAGAGGCAGAGAGGGATGGTGACTCAATCAGGGCCGCCCGCCGCAGGTGCAGAGCTGGAACGGGAATCCCAGGGTATGGCCTCGAGAAGGGGGCCTCAGCCTGGCCCCCAAGGACCTTCCAGAGGAGGTCTTCGCCTGTCTGAGACAGTCACAGGATGTCCTTTTCCTGGTCCCACCTGGCTGCAGTGTGGGCGGGGCAGTAGGAAATGAGTGACTGAGAGTGGGAGGAGAGGAAGGCTGGTGGCAGGAACGGGAGCTCTGAGGGTCAGCCTCCAAGGACTGGCCTGTCACGTGTGTGTGTGTGTGTGTGTGTGTGTGTGTGTGTGTGGTGCATGGAGTCCTCCGGCTCAGTATGGCCTGCCCACTGCCTGACTCCCCAAGACAGGACCCACAGGTTCTCAGGAGCTTTCGGTCAAGTGCAGGGAGAGGAAACAGAGGGGGCAGGGAAGAAGGAAGAGGTGCAAGGGAGGCTAAGAGCTGCTGGGTCACCAGGAGATCACCTTGCACAAGGCCTGAGAGTGTCAGTCACAATTCTCCAACACGATTGGTCCCTGAATTGGACAAGCCTACCCTGCGGGCCATGAGAGGTGTGGGGAGAGGAGGCGGGAGGAGGTGGGGAGAGGTGTGGGGAGAGAAGAAAAGAGGGAGCTGAGCAGTGGAGGACTGGGGGATGGGGTGGGCAGGGAGGTATGGAAGAGGGAGCCAGCGGGGCATGGACTGGCCTTCAGCCGAGGCACACTGCCCACCCTAACCAGTACTCGCCATGCTGGGGTGAGCTGGGGAAGGGCCACGGGGCTGGGGCCCTGGCTGGTGCCCCACATGGACAGGGTGGAGGTTGGACATAGAGAGAAGCTGGAGAAGGTACCTGGCTAAGGGCTGGACTTCCTGTGGGCAGATGGGATGGGGCATCTGAGGCTGACTGTGTGACCACAAAGGAGATCTGAGTGACCATCTGGAGGAGTCGGGCTGTTCGGTGTGGTCAGACATGGGCACATGCATGCCCTCTAGGCCATGAAGACAGGTAAGGAGCACAGGGGACGGAGACCTTAGTCCCACCTGGGGGTGGGGTTGGGGGTCCTGAGCTCACATCCTTCCCCAGCCTGGAGAGTGAGCCTGGGACCCATGCCCTTCCCCATCCAGGCCCAACATGGCCTGTGCCCAAGGTCCTTCTCTGCTGGGAGGGGCTGGCACCCTTTATTTTTAATTTTTAAAATATATTTTATTGATTTCTTTACAGAGAGGGATAGAGAGCTAAAAACATCGATGAGAGAGAAACATCGACCAGCTGCCTTCTGCACACCTCCTACCGGGGATGTGCCCGCAACCAAGGTACATGCCCTTGACTGGAATCGAACCTGGAACCTTTCAGTCCGCAGGCTGACGCTCTATCCACTGAGCCAAACCGGTTTTGGCAGGGCTGGCACCCTTTAAAGAAGGGCCTCCTCTCTGCCCTCCTCTTCTCCCTCCCTCCATCTCTCCCTGGTCTTCTCTAACTCCCCACCCTCACCCTCAGCTTGTTCTCTAGCTGCCTGAGAGGTAGGAGCCTTGAAAGGAGAACCCCCAAGGTTCACTGGCTCTCCCTGCAAGGACCCCTGGATCCTGCTTTCCAGGCTCCCATCCGGGCTGGCCTTGCCTGTCCTAAATCTCTGCATAGGATGGCAGGGCCGGCCTCAACCCTCCAGTAGGCAAGCTGCTGCCCCACTGAGCGCCTGCTTTCTTGTCTCCTGGTGCAAATTCCATGATGTATGGGGTCCCAGATGCCACCTGGCAGGTCAGTGCTGAGACTGGGGTGCCTACCTGCTCTGCCCATAGCAGGCTCCTGCCTGCGGTCTCTCCCCACCTCAGATGCCCCCTTACCTGCCGGCCCAATGAGTCAGGGAGGTTGTGTCTAGCTTGGGGGGTATCCTTAAGACTTTAGGGTGTATAAGGTCAGAGCTTGGGTGCCCTCAACATTTTCCCGGGTCCTGGCAAGGTAGGGCCACCCATAGATGCTCAGCTGAGAAACCCCGGGCATTGGGGAGGTCTGCCTGCTCATGTTGTTTCTGGCTCTTGGTCCTTGCTATCCACTTTGTTGGTTTCAGTCCCTGGCTTCACATTTGGCCCCGACACTTCTACCCCCTCCCCTTCTCCCACTTCCACTCCCCTCCCCACATGGTGACTGTAATTCTAGCTTCTCCACTCAGGTTTAAGTCCAGCAGGCAGTGAGAGCCTTTCCTTGCAGCTCCCACTGTGATTGGGCCATTTCAGGTCACATGCTCATTCCTGTGAGTGCCGGAAGTTGACATGTTCCAATCCCAGCTAAGAGGGCAGAGTTGGGAAAGGTGAATTCCCACACTAAAATCAGGGTGGCCCCCAGGGGTAGACAGCTCCCCACCCACCCCGGGAGCTTCTGTGTGCTTTTGCTAACCACACAGGCAATGGGTCCATTTTTTAAATCGTTTTATTATTAACATCATCTTCCTGTTTAGCCAAGTGTCTGTCGTGTATAAGGAATGTCGGTAAATATTTTCCATTTGAAGCTTCTTTGTACATCTTTCCATTGATAAATAAACTCTGAATTCACATAAAAAAGTTAAACTTAAATAACTCATATTTCCTTCTCTGGTAACAGGCATATATTGGCAAAATATAAATATTCTTGGACTCGGGCTTTGTTCTAAGTGAGGACAGTAATTCATCACATGGTACAATTATCGACAACAAAACCAAGAAATGGTTGGCCGGAGTCCTGGTGTGGCCTAGCACTGAGGTGGGAAAAGAAGATTCACATTTGGTTTCTGGGCCGGGGGTGGGGCAGGGTGGCGAGGAGGAGAGAACAGCTTTCTTTACAGCTCTGACAAAAATACTCTGTTCTGCCACTGAATGTTAACGTTGAGCGTGTTCTTCCACGTTTGTGGATTATTTCCATAACCATGTTACTTAAAACTCAGATGTCAACTAACAAGATATGGCACATAATCCGTGTTGAGCAGTCACCGGGCTGCGGAGGCCGCAGGCGGGCACGCGGGGAGAGTGACGATGCGGGGTGGTCTGGTCGGGTCGCCGTGGCCAGTCGCACGTCCGCCCGGGGCCTCCGGTGGCAGACGTGTCCCCTCGGGCCACCCCAGGCGGGGCCTCCGTGCCCGGGCGGCGGCGCGGCTGCCGGGCGCCCGTCAGAGCACCCGGGGGATGATGGTGAAGGGCACGGCGGGGCTGCTGGCCTCCAGCTCCAGGGCCATCAGGAAGCACTCGGTGGCGGCTGTGTCGTTGCCCTGAGCCTGGAGGACCTCGCCCAGCCCGTTCCAGACCTCGTGGGCCGTGGAGTTCACCTGCACCGCGTCCCGGAGAATCTTCTCGGCCAGGCTGTAGCGACGCAGCTGGTGAAGGATCAGGGCCTGTAGGCGTCAGAGAGACAGACAGTCAGCTCGGGGCTCCCATCCATCCTTGGGTCTCAGCAAATTCCTTGGAGGCAGACGTGTTCCAATTTTTTTTGTGTCTGCGCGGCTGGGCATGCACTGAGCTCAAGGTCTCCTGCGCTCGGGGGGCCATGGCCAAAGCAGCCACCTGCACCGGATGAAGCTGCCGACATTCAGCCGCTTTTGAATGAGAAATACAGTCACTTCACACTGTTCACCTGAACACTTAACACCAGGAGTGAGCCAGCGGGAGCAGCACGGTCTGTTCTGACCCCGTGGGCTGTCCTGTACGTTAAGTACCCACTGACACCTGCCCCCAAAGTGGGGGGCTGGGGCCTCCGGGCAGGGAGACCATTAGCAGTGACATAGCAGATGCTTTCGCAGGGCTGATGACACCTGGCACGGTTCTAAGTGCTAACACCAGTCCACTGGGCTCATCTGGGGCCCCCAGAGCCATTCCACGCGGGCCGGGCACCTGGTGGAAGGCCTGCTCTCATTGCTGCGGGGAGAGAGCCTGCAGCGGGGGAGCCCCTGACGCCGTGGAGAGCAACCCGCAGGCACCGGGTCTCCTCCCCCATCCCCTTGTCTGCAGGTGAAAGTCACGCAGCGAGCTGCCTCAGCAGCCAGGGCGGCCCTCCCCCCACTTCCCACCTCCTCGCTGCCGGAAATCCATCTGGGGGGAGCCCAGGGGAGGTGGTGCGATGGAGGGGGGAGGTGGTGAGCAAGCACATCCAGCTCCTCGGTGGCGCTCCCCCCACTCTGGTCCTTTAGAGCCAACACCCTCACTTCCCAACCCCCCAGGCAGGCGGGAGAGTCGGAGGCCACCTGCCCAGGCTGCAGTCAACAGGACGTGAGGGTTAATGAGCTCTGCCTCTCTCTCCCGGGGGAGGTTATCAGCTGGAGCTCCCTCTAGAACATTCCCGCTTGCCCAGCAGAGAAGCGAGGGCGGGAGGGGCTCGGGGTGCTGGCAGCCAGCGGCAGCGAGGATGACAGAAGGAGCCCACCCCATCCCCCGAGGCGTGGCTTCCGCAGGGCATCTACGATGCTGAACGCACACCCCCCCCCCCCGTTTTGAGGGGCTCGCTCTACGAGGCAGGGAGACACCCGGCGTGTGCTTGGCAAGGGGGCACACCACTCGGCAAGACAGAAAGAGGCCCCTGGGGTTACTGGGCTGCAGGAAGAGACTGTAATGTAGGTCACACTACGCTGGGCACTTGCTCACACGGCCACCTCTTTACATTCCAGGAGCCAGGTTCAGAAAGGCCAAGTGCCTTGCCCAGGGTCACAGAGCCAGTGAGTGCCGAGCTGCCAGCCAGCCCGGGCTGCCTGAGGCCCGAGGCCCCACTCTCCCCAGCATGCCACCGCCACCGCCACCGCCGCCTCTGCCGCTTTAAGAGACAAGCCCGGAGCCCCGGAGGCGCTAACCCAGTTACATCTGAGCAGCAGCAGATGGGCGGCTGCCCTGCTGCGTCTCCCCTTTCATGCCTGCAGCCGCTGGCTGGGGCTCCTCGGCCGCTCTGGCTGAGAAGTCGCTCCTCTCCGGGGCACAGGTTTGCTCCGCTCAGGATGCTTGTTGGAGCATCCTGGAGACTCACTCAAGGACAGGGAAGGCTCCTGCCCCCTTTCGTACCCTCAGACTGGCTGCGATTCTGAGGCCTGGATGGCTACAGGTGCCGAAGAACTGGCGGGGGGGGGGGGGGGGGAAGGATCCTGTTAGCCACCGAGTGGACCAAGAAGACGTGGTCCCAGAATGAGCAGGGCCTCGGCCCAGCGAGAGTGAGACAGAGGCCACCACTCTCAGCAGCAACTACCTGCTCCCCTCACTTCCCCCACCCCCATCCCAGCGCTGGAGTGGCGACAAGGCCGCCAGTCCTTGTGCTGGGCATTTTACTTACAATGGGGCTGGCTGCTGGATCTGGTACCACGGGGTACCAGAGGGTATATGGCGGGGGTAAGTCTACCTAAGTCTACCTGCCCCCATAAGCTGGCGGAGAACCAGGCGAAGGCCAGTCTGCCCATCACCCTCAGCGCTGGGCAGCCGGGAGCCTGTGGGTCTCGTGTCCCAGGGCTCCTGTGGGCCTGGACGCCCCGCCCAGGCCTGAACCCGCATGCTGAGCTAGGAACAGGTGACCCTGAAGCTTCCCCAGCAGCCTGGTTGGTCAGCGGGGTTAACGCCGGAAGCTGGAGCTGCCGGGGGACACATCGTAGACTTGCAGGGGAGGGGGGGGGACTGCCAGCGCGGGGGCTGGGCGAGGGAATGACGCTCGGCCCCTCCCCAGCGCCCGGCCAGCCAAGCGCAGCTCAGAAACCAGCACATGATGAGTCAACCAGAACTAGCTCCGGCTGGGGTCTGGCCACGGCTGGGGGCAGCGGTGCTGGTGGGGGGGGGCCAGAGCGGGCTGGGACCTGGGCACTGGACGTCAGGACTGATGCCTCACCCAGGCCCCTCTGCTGTGTGAGGCCTTCCCGGCTGTGAAGT